CGCCGCCCGCGGGGGCATGAGGCGGCGGGCGGCGGGCGGCGGCGCCGGCCCTTCCCCTGCGAGCCGCCGCCGGAGGATGAAGCAGCATGAGGATGTGTGACAGAGGCGTCCAGATGCTCGTCACCACGGTGGGAGCCTTCGCAGCCTTCAGCCTGATGACCATCGCAGTGGGCACCGACTACTGGCTCTACTCGCGCGGCGTGTGCAGGACTAAGTCCATGAGCGACAACGACACGAGCCGCAAGAACGAGGAGGTGATGACCCACTCGGGGCTCTGGAGGACGTGCTGCCTGGAAGGTACCGACCCCCGCGGCCCCAAAACTTCGGGGGAAGGGTTGCATCGCGGGACCCCCCACCCCAGATCCGGGCCCCCGGCGAGCGGCGCATCCCCCGGCCGTGCGAGCATCCCCGGCCCGGCGGTCCCGCCGCTCCCCGCCGCCGCCTTCCGCACCCCTCCCCGGGCACTCGCGGTGGCACCAGGTGGAACCTCAGGGGGGCCGGGGGCAGCGGCTCTGCGGCTCCCCCCGCGCTGGGCACCGGCGGACGCGCTGTGCCCTCCCGGCGAGCTCCGGGCTGAGGGGCCACAGGTCCCTCTCCTGGCCAGGAATGCGGGAGTGAGAGGCCCGCGGCCGCTGTCCCTCTCCGAGGCTCCGCCGGCCCCGCGTCACTGTCACCGGGGGGAGCGCACCGCACCCGGCGCTTCCATCACCGAGCCCAGCTCCAGCGCCAGCCCCTTCCCTGCCAGCAGCACCGCGGGGCAGGGTGGCTGCTGCTGCCCCAGGGCTGGGCAGTGCCACAGCGGGGCTGCCCCACCACGGCTGCCCCTCCTGCCTGCCCGGCCTCGCCGCTTCGCCCCGCTGCTTCCCTCCCGCAGCAGCGCCTGCCTGGCGAGGCCCCAGCGGCTGCCGCCCTCCTGCAGCACAGGCCACGATTTGGGGCAGTTTCGCCCCAGAGCTGCTGGTCGGGGTGTTTCCGAGCAGCCACAGGCTGTGGGTAAAGATGAGCTTTAGCAGAGCCAGGTGCCGGTACCTGCGCAGCAATGAATGGCCGGTGGCATCACCCTGGGCCCTACCTCTGACAGTGAGTGGCAGCAGAGGGTGTCCCTGTGCCCAGGGGAACCTGCCCCACTGCCCGGAGGGGCCCTGGCCGTGTCAGACCGCCCCAGCCCCGGGGCGACCCTCCGGCGGCGGGGGCAGGCGCTGAGCTGCTCCTCCACGTTGGAAAGTTCTCGGTGAGTCACGGATGCAGAAATACCCTGTCTGTTCTGCTGCTCGGTCCTAAGCCCGGTGAAGTCAGTCAGAGCTTTCTTATTGATTCAAGGAGGGTTTGGATCATGCTTTAATTCCATAATAAATAATTTGAGATAATCTGTCTCCCCTCTTGGGCTCAGGGAGCCAAGGAGTCAGGAGCCAGGGATGTGAAAGATGGGATCAGTGGAGGCATGAGTAATATCCAAAATTCTTTGGTTTGCTACCTGTATTTTTTTTTTTTCCCAGCCAATGTTTCATGTTTCCCTCGCTGTGATCAATCACTGCTTTGGAAGGAGCCAGAGAGGCCCCGCTGCCCTGGGCACAGCTCACTGGGGAAAGGGCTTGGCAGTGCCAGGGCAGAGCTGGATCCCAGCCCTCCAGCCTGAGCCTGGGCACGGGGCTGGGAGCAGCGGGGCACGGGCTCAGCACTCCCTGTTCCACATCCTGCCCCACGCTGGTGCTCTGGGAGCTGCGGGAGTGGAGTGGGAGTGGGAATGGAGTGGGAGTGGAGTGGAGTGGAGTGGAGCGGAGCGGAGCGGAGCAGTGCGGGGCTCGGCCCGTACCCGCGGCACCCCCGGGCCTCGTGCGGGGCCCGGCTCCGCCGTCCCTGCGCGCTGCGGGTGGCAGCGGGGCTGCGGGGACAGGGACGGTCCCAGCCCGTGCCCGGGGGAGCATGTGGGGCTGTGATGGTGCTGGGGGGACGTGCTGGGGCTGCTTATCACCTTGCCGAATTCTGCAGGGGAAGGCGCCTCGCAGGCTGTTAACCCGTGCGGTGCTGGCGAGGGAAAGCTTCCCCAGGGAGCCGCGCAGGGCTCAGGAGCCGTGCGGGGGAAGGAGCGTGCTGGGGCGGGGGCCGAGCAGCCCCGCAGCCCGGGCAGCGCTGGGGGCACAGCCCGGACCCCTTACGTGCGGCAGGGGCAGCATCGCGACCCTTGGGCCTTGTTCCCTGCTGCCCTGCTCGCTGTGGGGCTGGGCAGGGACAGTGGCTCCATCCCCGCGCCCGGACCCGGCGCGGTCTGCCGCCGCTCCCGCGGTGCACAAATGCTTTCAGCGCCGAGCGGAGCTCCCCGCCCCTCGGGAGCCGCCTCGGCCCTGAACTTCCCTCCGCCGGCGGGGGCTGGACGCGTGTGCCGGGGCAGGAATCGCGCCGGGGCCCGGCCGGGGCTCAGCCCGACGGGAGCGGCCCCGAGCATCCCCCGAGCATCCCCGGCACAGCAGCGCCTGCGTGGGAGCCAGCGCCACGTGAGCGTCACAAGCCCTTCGGCGAGAGCGATAAATGCTGAATGGAGCCGCCGCAGACCCATGGAGAGCCACCCACGCTGGGAAACACAAATTAGCGTTGACTCAGTAGCTGGAGCCCGGGCAGGTGTTCCCAGCCGGCTGGGCCGCGGTAGCCTGCCCGGAATCGCGGCCTTTGGATGCTGGTTGTTGCTTTTGCAAGGTGTGAACGCTCGGCAGGTGTCCCCCGTGTGTCCGGCTCAGGTGTGAGCGGCGCTGGCCCGCGTGTGTCCCCCGTGGCTGTCCCGGTGTCACTTGTTGTCCTGTGTGCCTGCTGTGTCAGTAGGAAGGGAGGGAAGCACGCGGCGCTTTGGGCAGGGAGCTGAAGTTGAGAAATAGCTGCTCAGGCTAGTGGTGCTTTCAAGAAAGTAAGAGAACTTTGGTTTTCATCAAACTTAATTAAATTCGGCATCATTAAATGCAGCATCATTAAATGCAGGGAGGCTCCGTGTCCTCCCTGCTGCGTGGTGTAGATTGGGACTGGCTCCATGGCATCATGCGGATCTGAAACAGGCAGAAGGAGCAGGAGGATTTGGCCAAGGCTGCTCAAAATACCATATTTTAAGGCGATGTGGTACTTTTCCTTTCCTCCTTCATTTCCCTCATCAGAATAAAGTGCTCTGTCATTTCTGGAGGAGGCCAAGCGTTGCTCTGCCTGCCTCCCTCACAGAGGATGCTCAGCATCCTGCACTCCTCTGGGGTGGGATGTGGGTGTTTTGCAGGGGACACAGACATCTCATGTCCCAGAGCTCTCCCCCTCGGGCCCATCCTGGCCCCTCCAGTGTCCCCCAGAGCAGCTCCAGCCTTTGCCAGTGGCAGTTCCTCCCTGCAGAGCCTGGGGAGCTCTCAGGGCTGGTCCTTTGGGATGATCCTGTCTGGATTTACACACAGCACTGCAGGAGCCACCAGCTGACCCCGCAGCCCCCGGGACCCTGCCCAGTCCTTTCTGCAGCTCCTGCAGCTCAGCAGAGGGTGGGTGTCACTCCTGCAGGCTCACCCAGGGTGAGCAGCCGTGTCCCTGGGCCGGGGGTTCCACTGGAGAGCCCGTGAGCTCCTCCAGCTCCCCCTGAACACAAGAAACAATGCCAGGTACCCGGGTCTGCCGTGGCCACGGGGGCTGTCTGTCCTTGTGCTGCCTGCTGCGAGTCTGGCTGCACACTGGGGTCACCGAGCCCCTCACGGGGAGTCCCCAGAGGGGTGGGACCCCCAGCCCATCCGGTGGGACTGGGCAGCATCCCCCAGCCCCCAGCTGGAGCTCGCTCTCCTGGTTCCTCCCTCGCAGTCCTTGGGCCATGGCTGAACGAGCCCGAGCTGCCCAAGTCTGCTGGCCCACCTCCCTCATTCCTCAATATTCCCATCACTCTTTTCTCTGCCATTTCCCTGGTTTACTCCCAATTATTTCATGTTTTATTCAATACTCTCAATGAAGATGTAGCTCAGCTCTGTCCTTGTAACAGGCAATCCTGAGCAGGAGCATCCCTTGGATGGAGGGACTGTCCCTGGGAGCTCCCAGCCCTGCTAATAAAGCGCTGTTGATTCTGCATAATACAGGTCTTTAACTTCTTCAGGAGAGCTAAATCAAATACCCTGTGGAACTCCTAAATGTATTATGTTGCTGACTTCCTTTATCAACTGAATTTCTAACTATATCAGGAAAAATTCATGAAGTTTGATAAATCTGTTTTCCACGAGGCTGTTTGACATTTGCCTCCTCCCCCGTTCCCACCTCTGCTAAGGCACGGGCAGTGCTGGGGACACAGCTGCCACTGCCCATCGCATCACTCCTGGCATTAAACCAGCTTCTCCCTTCTTCTAGAAATCCCACAGAATGCCAAGGTTTATTAAAATCCATTTTAGCTCTTCAGAAGCCTTCTCAGCCCGTTCTCTGAATGCTCCTGGGAGGAAGCTCTCTGGTCCTCCCCAATCCATGTTTACACTTTGCAGTCGCTGTTTAGCATCCCCCAGCTCCTGCCAGAACCCGGGAGCCTGTTTGTCTCCAAGTACAGAGCAGAAGTATCTGATGAATAAATAAGCATGTGTCACTTCTGCTCCATGACTGACAGTTACACTGCCATGATCCAGTCGTGGTTTACGCGTCAGGAGAGCTGCTTCCAACACAATGACAGAACTCCTCCTTGTTTTGCCTTGACCTTTCAGCTGCAGATTTATTTTCACTGATCCCATCAGCTCCTCCCATCAGCCCGTTGTGTGTGGCCTGCTACTTCTCATATCCAAGTCCCTGATTTTTAATTTAATTCAATTTCCCATTCCCCCTTTCCAGTGGGCCCGGCAGGGCTGTGAGGTGCAGGAAAGCACCTGCCCTTGTCCTGAGTTTCCATTTTCCCTGTGGGTTTTGTCCTGGCTGGTTTTGGCTCTGCTGAGCTGAGCTGGGTCACAGTGAAGGCATTAAATCGGGCTGGAAGAGGCTGCCCTGGCCAGGCACCAGCTCTTCCCCCGCCTCCAGCTCCTCTCAGCCCTCTGAGTGAGGCCAAGCAGAGAATTTCCCCAAGGTGACAGCAAGATTGTTTCTGTTAGAAAGTTATTATCTTTAATTTTTAAAAGCGCCAAGGAAATGTCCCTGAGATTGCAATCACCCATGATGGAGCACTTTTTCTCGCCACTCATTACGGGCAGGTATTTAAGGAGCTGCTCGTCCTGTTCCTCTGTCTGGTCAGTGGCTGTGATAGATTCTCATCACCAGCCCAACGTGCCACTGCTCAGTGGTGCCCGGTCCAGCTCGGTGCCAGTGCTGCTGATGGTGATGGTGTG